GTATTCTTTCCCAGTCTAGAAGCCTTTGAGAGGGAATTGACCCTGATTCTAACCACTCCAACAGCTATCAAAGTTCATGAAAGCAAATCCTGAATCCTTCACTCTCTAGTCCAGCCTTGGCAGACAAAAGAAAAATGAGGACAACCCAATAGAAGGAAGCTCTCGTCAAGAAATTCCAGTGGACTCTCATAAGGACATTTGAAATTTGCCCTGTTCTGTTTTTTTTTTTTTTTCTGGTTCCCTGTTTAGAACTTGTAATGCCAACTACTCTTGCCTTTATTTCTCCTTCACATCTCCTATTCACTAGTCAAAGACTCTCTTTTCCCCCTTCAGATAAGTGTTATGCAATTTGGGAGTCTATTGGATAGACCCAGTGAAGGGGTACTCCAGTTGCCTCACCTTGCATCCTTGTTCAGCATGGAAGAAGCCCTAGTGGTCTGTGTCCTGATTCCCTATTCGCAAGTTGGGTAACCTCTTCAGAGGATGGTGTGATAAGAATAGGAGGCAGGAACTGGCTAGGCAGTTAGGGTAAAAGGACAGCAAAAGAATGTAGTCAGTTTCTAGGCTAAAAGTCAAAATATCTTTGGGCCTGTTAGCAACATTCTCTGTTCCAGAGGACAAAAATGTCAAAAGTATTTGGGAGGTCTTATTCTTAAAAGATTTTAGGGTTACAAGCTCGGATGGGGAAATGTTAGAGTAGCAAAAAGGCCCATAAAAAAAGAGAAGAAGCAGTATATGAAGTTGTTAGAAAAGAGTGATGTGGAGATATAGGAGGTGTTGGAGAGGAGGGAGTGGGCACGGATCTGATCAAAATACCTATATGCATGTATAAAATTCTCAATAAATTATTTTTAAAAGTACTTGAATTCTAAATTGCATGCCTGGAAATAAATCACTTACTTGTCTCTGTCACTTCCCTCAATTTACTTACTTGAAAATGAAGAAAATATTGATAAGTATAAAAAGTAAACATACTCATGTTTATAATTGCCTTCCCATGCTGTATCTTGAATATATATGCTGAAATCTTTATATTTTTTGAGAGAAGGCTTATGTCATGAAGGCAGGTATGTATCCTACTTCTTCACCCCCTTAATGCTAGATACCACTACACCTGGTTGAAGAGCTTCACTGTCCTTGGAAACAGTACTGAAAAAAGTACTCAGTGTAATTTGAAAAACACCAAGATACACTATTTGCATGTAATAAATTATCAATCATATTGTTATTTTTGTTTAACTCTCCTAAAAATACATTGACTTTATTGTCTTTATGCAGTAAGCCATCATTATTTTGACTCTTTAATTTGTATTTTAAGAAACAGATAAAGATCAGAATTTAGATAAAGAAACTGGTCTTTAGAGACAAATATTTATCAAAATTTATCGTCTATTATTTATTTACTAGGGTAGCAATAGTCAAGTCAAAGATATGTACTATTGCACTTGAGAAGCAGAGGGAATTGGGTCTCTGTGAAATTGAGACCGGCCTTGTCTACATAATGAGTTCCTGGTCAGATGAGGCTACAGCGAGACCCTATCTCAGAAAGATAAAAAATATATACTGTTAAAGAATGATTTAAGACAAACCTTATAGCATAATATATAATATATAAAATAGATTTATCACATATATGTGTATATCAAATGCGTATATATATATATATGACAACTTCCCAGTTCTTTTTAAAATTATTTTTCTTTATTTTTGATAATTCCGTACATATATATAAAATGAGATATAAACATATGTATTCCCCATTGCCCCCTTCAAATCACCCTACATCTCCTCAACAAGCTCCCTCTCAATTTCAAGTCTTTTTTTATAACTCACTAAGACTAATTAGTCTGCCCATATGTGGTAGCCATAATACCCTGCAAGATGTGCCTACTGGTATAATAATGACATGACATCATTTGATGCCTTCTACACAGGAGACAATTTTATGCCTGATGCTATAATCCTGGTCCAAAGTCCTTAGCTGGGTAGGTCATAGAGATCTTAAGGTAGAACTTGTTATTGTTTTGCTGAATGATCATTTTGTCAAATCGTCTTCTAATATTTTATGCTTATAACCATAGACTGGATTGCTCTCAGTGTTTGTCAGAAAAGCTTCTTTTACAGTGGGCAGCTGTCAATAGAGAGATAAAAAACTGGTCAGATTGCTGAGAATAAGAGACTAAGTGCCCAACCTTAAATGGGTCAGTTGTCAACTCCCATTCCCACCACCAGGAAACTTAGGATATACTACAGAAGCAGAGACAGAAAGACTGAAAGAGCTGTAGGAATGGAAAGAATTAAAAATGTTGTTTTCTGGTCATGACTTGGCTACCGCAATCATGAAATCATAGCAGCTGTGGTTGCTAGAACAAGACTTGATAGTTTTTACAGTGAACACAGCATTGATCAAAGCATCTGTCCTAAAATACAGGCTAGAATCTGAAATCCATTTCCTCTTTAGAATCTGTTCCTCCAGGTATCTGCATATTCCAGGCTTGGGCTATATCTGTAGGTGTCTGTGCGGCGGTCACACTTGCTATTATTTTTCCTGTTGGGCTCTTCAATCTGTCAAGAACTGCACAGATCTTCCCCATGGTGATTCATGCCAGGTCAGATGCTGAAGCTACACTATTGATTTAAGTCCCACACCCCATATTCCAAAGAAGGGAATTTAAGTACTTATTCCCTGATGCATCATTTTATGCTCGCCTTTATTGCCCTGTCCCAAGGACTTTGACTAAAAAGGCATACAGAGCTACAAAGAATCAATACCTATCTGTTGAGCACTTTCAAGGAGTTTTTCTTCTGGCTATTCACATTGACATGCTAGTATCCTTCAATGTCCACCTCTCACTATTGAAAGTCCATTTGGGTCAGGACTCTATTATGCTATTCATCTGTATGTATAGATTATTCTCTATTAAAATATTGCCTACTTCAGTATCTAGAACTCTGAATTGGATTCACAACATATATTTTCACAGTCAGGAGGCATTTCTTTTTAGTTAGTATTCTCTCCCTCTATTTGAATAACCTTCAATCAATACTTTCTATATGTGTAATGAAGAGTCAGGCAGCTAATTGTCATCTTCATCCACACACATCCCTTACCATTCCTGACTTTAAAACTTAGATTCTCTCTGAAAATTTTAGTCCTATATGTAGAGATCAAGAGCTTTAGTTACCAAATGACCCCTGCAAGATTAGTTCTCAATGAAACTGAGGCTCTTCAATATATGGAGATTTTAGAGTTTGTACAATGCTTTTGAACACGTCATTCTTCTTTGTGAAATCTGACAAAATGTTTTTAGTTAGCACCACTGTTACTGGAGAGATGGCTCATGGTCAAGTGCACTGAGTGCTCTTGCGGATGACCAGTGTTCCATTTCCAGAACCCACATGGTGGCTAACAACTGTCAGAAAATCGAGTTCCAGAGGAATTTGGAGCTCTCTTCTGACCTCCGCAGGTGTTGCAGGACACTGGTGTACTTACATATATACAGACAATATACTCATACACATAAAAATAAAAATAAATAAAATATTTGCTGGGTGTGGTAACACATGCTTTTATTCCCAGCACTCAGGAGCCAGAGGCAGGTGAACCTCTAGTTGTTTAAGACCAGCCTGTTCTACATAGTGAGTTCCAGCAGTTGGGCTATAAGAAGACCCTATTACAAAAAGACTCACCCCTCCCTGAAATTAACATTAAACACTATAAAAAGAAAATCTCTTTTTCATATTGAGTGTTTATAACATAAACTAAAATCAACCAATTAGAAATTTATATTACATGCTGGTTCAAATGACGTTCTCCACTTACAGGCTCCAACTTTTTGAATAATATGTCCCCAGTTGGTGATGGTGATTTGGGAAGTTTAGGATGTGTTGCATTTCTATAGGAATGCTCATCACTGGGGGTGGACTTTAGTCCTGCCCAATTCCAATTTTGTTCTCTCTGCTTCAAGTACTGCTTGAAGCCACGAGTGCTCCTTCTGTTGCCTCTACCACCATGCTTCCCTGCAATAGACTCATTCCTCTAGAACTATAAGCCAAATAAATTCTTCCTTCTATATGTAGCCTTGGGCATGATGTTTTATCACAGCTGCAGAACAGTAACTGATACAAATTATTTCATAAAGTCACTCAGTTTGTACACATTGGTAGACACTGTGAAAAATATGATGTTTCACCCAGGCTTGGTAGTGGTACAAGCCTTAATCCCAGCAGAGGCTTGCAAATCTCTGTGAGATACAGGCAGCTGGTCTACATAGCAAGTTCAAGGTCAACTGAGCTACAGGGATCTCCTGTCTCAGAAACAAAACAAAACAATGAAAGACAATGTTAGATGATTAAATAGAGAATTATAATGGATAATTGTAGATAAACCATGAAATACAACATAAAATATGTGAAAAGAGAGAAAATGAAGTCTTTAAAAATTATGTCTTTAATTCTGTACAGATTTAGAAGACAAAGTATCTTATGAAATTCAGGAGCATTCAAATAAATGAATGCGTGGGTTAATATCTGAGGAAGATTCTAAAAGGAGTAGGATCTGGACAAGAGTGCTGCAATATGCATCACTTGATTAAATAAAACATTTGATGCAATTCAAATCAAATTTAATGAAGAAGCTTTATGGATTACATTTATTTTCATTTAACCTAAAGCAGTCATGTATGATACAGCAAAGATTTGTGCATCGTTGAGTAGAACTGTGAAAAATATTAGAGAAAAATACAACATGTACGAATAGGACATAAAGTAAGTGAGATTAACCAGCCATCAAAAATTTAAATTATCAGTTTTAAAATAATAAAATGACCAGTAATATGAGGACTTCTGTTGATAGTGTTACACTCACAATTTTCTCTATGTTTAAGAATATATTATCCATAAATTTGTGAATATGTACTCTAAGTTGGTTTTTCCAACATTTGGAAACAAATGTTAGAAGAAAGAGTGTTTTTCAAATTGTGAGGCTCCTTTAATCTCAACTACAAAAGTAATGTTCTGCTAATGATTTTTCTAAAGGCAATTTTGACATCTTTGTTTCTGATACTATATATTAGGGGATTCAACATGGGTATAGTCAATGTGTAGAAGACAGAGGTAGCCCTGTCAATATCCATTGAATGTCCTGCAGTAGGGCGCAAATAAATGAAGATCAGGGTACCATGGTAAATAGTGACTACTGTCATGTGGGAGGCACAAGTGGAGAATCCTTTCTTTCTTCCCTTTGCAGAACCTGTTTTAAGGATGGCCGATATGATGCAGATGTAAGAGGAGAAAACAGCAAGAAGACAGACAGCTTCCACGAAACTCCCAAAGACCATGAGGGTTATTTCCTGCAGGTAAGTGTCAGAGCAGGACAGAGAGAACAGTGGGGAAATGTCACAAAAGAAATGGTTAATTTCATTGGAGCAGAATGAAAAATGAAACGTATTAGTGCTGTAAACAATTGCACTTATAGTTCCGCTCAAGAAAGCTCCAATTGCAAGCTGACCACAGACTCTCCTGGACATAATTACGGTATAAAGCAGAGGGTTACAGATTGCAATGTATCTGTCATATGCCATGGCAGCCAGGAGGAAAGATTCTGAATCAACCAGAAAACAGAAGAAATACAACTGGGCAGCACAACCATTGTAAGAAATGGTCTTCTTATCAGAGAACAAGTCCCAAAGTAATTTGGGGGCAATAGCAGAGGAGTTGCATGCATCAGTGAAGGACAGCATGCAGAGGAAGAAGTACATGGGGGTGTGCAGGTTGGAACTGAATGTGATCAATAAAATCATCCCCAGATTCCCCATCAGAGTAACAGAGTAGATGGAGAAAAACACAGCGAAGAGGAGACTCTGGAGCTCTGGATGATCACTAAATCCCAGCAGAAGGAATTCAGCCTTCACGCTGCTGTTGTGTAGACTCATTTTCTGCAGCGATTTGGGTTTCTAGAGTTGAGATAAGCAATATTCTGTGAAAAAAAAATCAATTAGACTATTCTTGTCTTGTCCTGCATTCCCAATCAAACCAGCTGATGGATTCTGAACTATGGTAACACTTTAAGAATTTTTATTAACTCTCACATATTATAATCACTTTATATTTCACAACTCTGAACAGATTGTCTGTGTTCCATGGTATCTTGTCTCATCCATTTCATAGTCAATAAAAGCATGATTGTTTCAGGAGAATCCTTTTCAGTTGTGGGACAGAAGTATTGTTTCTCACTTTGAGAGGTGATGAACCAAAAGCATTGGAAGATTTGTTCACAATCTTTGTCCTTAATCTACCTGTGTTCTATATGAAGTAAATAATCAAAATGCAAATACTTATTATCATGTTTTCCAGTGTACAGAAAAATGAATAGAATATGATTATATAAGGAGCTATTTTATATATTTATTAGTTATAGTTTTTAGATTGCATATATATGAAGACATATGAAATTCTTTTGTAGTTCATATTACACAGAGTTCTTTGTTCATGAAACAAAAATAACTATTTTAAACCTCCAGTGTTGTATTTAAATCCTACCTTTCACAATCCTCTGACTCTCAAATCCATTTGTACATTTCATAATAAAATAGAAAATTGAAAATACGTATATAGCCTCAGCTTTCTCTTGGATTCATTCACTTAAATGTGTATAGACTCTCTCTTGCTACCTGTTCTCTCTAGAGAAAGCTTAGTCCTGTTCTCTAAGGTTAATGCTACCAATCATGGTTGTGTCAAGTAAGGTTCTCATACAGCTAATTTAGCTGCTACCAAAAAATTAAATTATGTCATGAATAGTTAAAGGGATAGAAATGGAGAGCATCCTATTAAGTGAAATCTTCCAGATTTAGAAAGACAGCTACAACAGTGTTTTCTACCCTTCATGGAATTTTCATTTAAATTAAATAAAACATGAAAATAGAAGGCACATTATTTGGGTGGAGGAAGGGTACCAGAGGGAAGGGGGCAGGTAATAGTAATAATTAATACATATTTTTTCCTTTTAACATTTATTTAGTATTTACTTATGTGTACAAGTGTTTTTCCCTCATGTGTGTAAGTACACCCCTGCCATACAATGCTGTGGAGGTCAGAAGAGGACTTCAGATCCCCTGGAAATGGAGTTATTGACAGTTGTTAGCCACCATATAGGTGCTGAAAACTGAACCCAGATCCTCTGAAGGAGCAGCCAGTGCTCTTAACTGATGAATCACCTCTCCAACCCCGATTGCTGTATGATATTTATCAAATGCATAATGTACGTGCTGAACAAGTCATTAATGGAGCCATTTATTTTCAACTATAGAAATGCATTAATCAAAACTATATTTTCTAAAGAACATGAGCCTAGAGATAGATTTATTGTCTCATATGTACCTTGTATATTATAGCAGTATTTGTCCACAGAACCGGGAATTATATTAGTTACAACATATAACACATTTTGAGAAGTGCCTTTCATATCCCATGCATACAAATGAATGTATATAATTTGTTGTATAGGATAA